AAAAAAAAAAAAAAAAAAAAAAAAAAAAAAAAAAAAAAAAAAAAAAAAAAAAAAAAGCTATGCTTGTCCTTAAAATTATGTGCAGAAGTTTACTGAAAAGTACAAGTTACTATTTTTCCTTCTGAAGTACTCCTCACAGGTAAACCCTGTTAGTTTAACAGATAACCTTAAAATGTTTAACACATACTTGTTGAATGAATAAGTGCCCTCAGTGAATTTCCTTTGCCTCTACAAACATAGGTATGTACCTTGCTTTTTCTCTTTAACAGTACACTTGTGTCTTTTAACAGCTGCGTGGTATGGTACTCTGATGGTTGTACTTAACCACTCTGCTATTAATAGTCACTCATGTTGTTTATATTTTTTGGTTATTATAAACATTGTTGCGGGTGGGATCATTGAACAACACTCAAGCCTTGAGTAGTTTTTCCAGGAGCTGAGAATCAGTGTGGTGATGTCTAAAAAACATGAGCTTGGAATCTGAAGGTACTGGCTAGGGAGAAGAGCTGCTCATGTGCTCCTGATAATAGAAAAGTCCCCCTTGGTCTGGAAGGTTGGGGCCGTCCTCTGACTCAGCGGTTTTAGGAATTTTATAGGGTGAGAAGGAAGTTGCCCAGCCTTGACCAGCCAGCGAGGCAGTAGGTCCTCCCAGCTCATCTTCACAGCCTTGGCTGGAGTCAGGAAGACTGGTTTCAATGTTAAGTTTGGAATCCTGGCCTCCATCCCTTAAAACCTTTGTGATCTTAGATAAGTCACATCACAGTATCTCAGAGCCCCTGTTTCCTCACAGAACGGTTATTTTAGAGGTATGTTTGTGAATTACCTGGCACATGTAGGCATGTGACTGACAGTAACCAATGTTACTCAAGGTCATTGTGCACTCATTCATACTTTGAGCCATTTCCTGTTGTAGGCTATAGCACACATTTCCAGCTTCCTGATAATAGGGCTGCAGGGTATTTTTGGGAAATAAATCAAAATTGGCCATTAAAACCAGATTCCTGACTTTGCCTGGATATGTCATCTGGAAAGCAATCGGCATGAATTCTTCATTTCTTTGGTAACTGTTTAATGAGTGCGTATGTGCCACGGATTGCAGAGGGTGTAAGAACAGCCTTTTCCTTCCAGTTTACAGCCTCATCAGAGTTAAGACATACTCATGAGGAAATTGAAAATAGAAGACAATACAGTAGATAGAAAGCTGTCAAATACGCAGTCTAGACTTCAGAGGAGGAAAGCTATCACTTTTAGCTAGAATAATGGGGAAAAGATTTCATCATAAAGATTTTTCATGATAGCACTGGAATATGAGAGCTTTGAGTGTGTATTTAGACAGCTGCTGTCACAGCCTGTGAGAATCCTCAATTTTGGCTTGTAAGGGGAATTCCCTGCAGGTCAGGGTATGTGCCTGGCATCTCAAAATGAATCAGCACATTTTCCTCCGGAAACATTGTTATAGATTTATTTAAACCACAGTTCCATGATGAGTTATGTTAAACTCTCTCTCTCCTTCTCACCATATGTGTATGTAAACTTTTGTGACCTAACGTATCAGTGTGTCCTGTGATTGGGAACTTTGTTCCACTGCTCTGAACAACTAACTTACAGATGAACTTTTATACCACCACCTGTGTGCACATTAGAAACTATTAACACAATGAGGAGGCATTGAAAGTTTTTGAGCAGAGGAGCAATCTCAAAATACTATTTTAGCAAAGTAATCTGACAGGAGTATGCAGGATGGATTTCAGCGGCAGAGCTTTAAAGGTTATTGCTGAAGCCTGGGTGTAAGGTAACAACAGGGACAGATGCAAAAGGCAATACGCAAACAATATCAACCAGACAAAGCAGATTCAAAAAGGAAATCATGTAATTTACCTGGTAACTAGATTCATTCCTTAATTCAGTAAATATTTGCACAGTTACTTGGTGTTACGCACTATGCTGGACCTAGAGGCTATGGCATGAACAAAACCAAGCTCCTGTCCTCATGGAGTTTACAGTTTAGTGGCGGAACAAGTCATTCATTCATTTGACAAATATTTGATGACCTACTGTATGCCAGACGTTGATCTAGGAGCTGAGGATTCAGCAGTAAGTAACACTTTAAAATGTTAAAGCTTTCTTAGCACTTCCATTCTGATAGGGAATATGGGCAACAAGTATGTCCAAGGAGAAAACTAAAGCAGGACACACTGAGGTTTGCAGAAGGAATGAAGCCATGGGGGCGGTAAGAGGTTTGGTGGTGAATTAAGAGAAACAGCAAAACTGATGAAATATTTTTCAGGATAGTGGAAGTAGAGGATTAGCAGCCAGGGAATAATAAAGAGTGAATATTCAGAGGGAAGATGGCTAAGTGCATTTCAAAGAGCTTAACTCTTGACAACAGCTGGGAAGTAAGGTGTCACCAACCGGAAGGCAAAATGGGTAGAGGAGAGGGGGACTTCAAGGCTAGTAGTCAGGGATGAAGGTCAGTGCGGTGGAGGTTGCAGGGACCCATGAAATCCAGATTTTGGTCAGCAACATGGATTTCAAAGCTGCTAAGTGCTAGGTAGCAAGGGAGGGAAAGTGTGCTGTGATCACCCAGGAAGGTAGCAGTGGGTGGTCAATCAGAACTCAAGAGAAGGCAGGTAAACTGACCAACAGGGACCTTAAATTAGGAGCAAGATGGGGACCACTCAGCATCCTGATCCAAGAGGGAAGGAGGAGAGGCCATGGCGCCTGATCTCTCTGATGGAAGTGGAAACGGGCCCCTTCCCCCACAGCTGCAAGCCTGATGCCACACCAAGAGACTTGGCAATGGGCCTTGTACTGCCCTTATGTGGCCCCCAGAAATCTAATGAACACAAGTTCCATGATTCCAGGGACCATATCTTCATCTTTGTGTCCTCTGGAGACCAGGTACGTGGTAGGTGCTTGATGTCGAGTTAAAGTGAACCCACACATAGAATTTGAGAGTTGGAAAGAATGTCAGAAACAACTAGTTGAACCCTCTTGAGTTCACTTTTTGAGGTGTGGGCCAGATTTGAGGTCTAACTTGAGGTCAGCTTCTTCCCCGACTTCAAACCATTTAGTAGGAATTTTCTCACTCAACTTTTATATTATTACATCAGTGGTTTTGCAAGTGTGGTCTGAGAACCGCAGGGCTCCCTAGGACTCTTTCAAAGGATCTGCTAAGTCAAAACATGTTCATAATACTCAGATGTGATTTGCCTTTTTCACTTTTATTTGCTTACAAGTATACAGTGTTTGCCAGAGCCTACATGACGTGTGATATCACAGCAGGCCAAATGCAGAGCTGACATGTGAATCCAGACTAAGATAGAGACCTGCCAAAATGCGGAACAATGCCACTTGACCAATTCTGATTCTTTTTGTTTTTGAGACAGTCACCCAGGCTGGGAGTGTAGTGGTACAACCATAGCTCACTGCAGCCTTGACCTCCCGGACTCAAGTGATCCTCCCACCTCACTTTCCTGAGTAGCTGGGACTACAGGTGCACGCACCACCATGCCTGGCTATTTTGTTGCTGTTGTTGAGATGGAGTCTCGCTCTGTCGCCCAGGCTGGAGCTGGAGTGCAGTGGCACAATCTTGGCTCAGTGCATCCTCCACCTCCTGGGTTCAAGCAATTCTCCTGCCTCAGCCTCCCGAGAGACTGGGATTACAGGCGTATGCCACCACGCCCTGCTGATTTTTGTGGTTTTAGTAGAGATGGGGTTTGCCATGCTGGCCAGACTGGTCTGGAACTCCTGACCTCAAGTGATCTGCTCACCTCACCCTCCCAAAGTGCTCGGATTACAGGTATAAACCATCGTGCCCGGCTGCTATTTTTTCTTTTTTTTTTTTTTTTGAGACGGAGTCTTACTCTGTCACCCAGGCTGGAGTGCAGTGGCATGATCTCGGCTCACTGCAACCTCTGTCTCCCGGGTTCAAGCGATTCTCTTGCCTCAGCCTCCCGGGTAGCTGGGATTACAGGTGCGTGCCACTACACACAGCTAATTTTTTATTTTTAGTAGAGACAAGAGTTTCTCCATGTTGGCCAGGCTGGTCTCAAACTCCTGACCTTGTGATCCACCTGCCTCGGCCTCCCAAAGTGCTGGGATTACAGGCATAAGCCACTATGCCCAGCTTTTTTTTTTTTTTTTTTTTTTTTTTCTTTAATTTTTCTGTAGAGACAAGGATCTGTGTTGCCCAGGTTGGCCTTGAACTCCTGGCCTCAAGACATCCTCCCATTTTAGCCTCCTGAAGTGTTGGGATTATAGACGTGAGCCACTGTGCCTAGTCTGGTTTTGATTTATAAGATGCTAAATATCAATAAGTACGATAGATATACACAAGAGCTCTTTAGTGACCTCAAAATTTTTTCAAAATATGAAAGGATCCCAGCTGGGCACAGTGACACACCTGTAATCCCTGGAGGATGACTTAAGGCCAGGAGTTCAAGACCAGCCTGGGCAACATAGTGAGACACTCATCTCTAAAACTTTTTAAAAATTTAGCCAGACCAGGCACAGTGGCTCATGCCTGTAATCCCAGCACTTTGGGAGGCCGAGGCACATGGATTACTTGAGGTCAGAGCTTCAACACCAGCCTGACCAATGTGGTAAAACCCCATCTCTACTAAAAATAGGGGGAAAAACATAGCTGGGCATGGTGGCAGGCGCCTGTAATGCCAGCTACTCGGGAGGCTGAGGCATAAGAATTGCCTGAACTTGGGAGGCGGAGGCTTCGGTGAGCCAAGATCATGCCACTGTACTCCAGCCTGGGCAACAGTGAGACCTCTGTCTCAAACAAAAAATTAGCCAGGTATGTTGGTGCATGCCTGTAGTCTTAGCTGCTCAGGAGGCTGAGGGAAGAGCATCACTTGAGCCCAGGAGTTCAAGGCTTCAGTGAGCCATGATCATACCACTGCACTCCAGCCTGGACAACAGAGCAATGCCCTACCTGTAAATAACAGAGTCTTGAGGGCAAAATATTTATGAAATGCTAGATTCAATCCTACTGCACCCCAGCTTCCTGGCTCCCTTTTTTTGTGGGAATCTAAGTGGTAAGAAGGATCTAAGGTAAAAAAAAATTCACAGCCCACAGCTTTCCCTTGTGGGGCTTCGGGGCACAGCTCTGAGAGATTATCATGTACTAATTGTCCCTGTGACCAGGCCACCATCTCACTAGAGAAATAGCTCACAGGAGGGAACTTGACAGGGCCTGGGGTATTCCATTCAGGCACAATCAGGAAGGTCTCACCTAGAAATTGCAGAGGCAATCATCCCTTGGACCAGTTTTTCCAGTTTCCTGAGCTGTGCTGACATCAACACTCCCGTTCTAGTTCCCCAGGGGTAGGCAGCAGGGAGCCCCCTCCTAACAGAAACTAGGGGCAGCTCAGAGCCACCCTGTGAAATAACTGGGCTCCACCTCTTTTGAAAAGTGAAGCCCAGTCACATGCTAAGAACCTGATTTATTTCTTTTGTTAAATTTACCTTCCAAATTATGTTTATAGAATCCCCCTGGGGCTTGGTGAGCAGAGAATCAATAAACATGGGTTTTTCCCAGTTCTACCAACATGACCTCAGAGATGCTCCTTTCCATTTGTGCCTGAACTGAACTTTCCTCTTCATAAAATATGAAAGAAGCACTGATCACAGCGGCAGTCACATGCCTCCCTGCCCATGCACAGTGGAGACCATCTGTGTGCTGGTGTACATAATATGCTCAGCGTTTTGGAGAATCACACACAGTCATCATCATCATCATCATCATCTTACAGTTTCTCAAAAGAAATCTCATTCCCCAGCATCCCTGTTTCACTCCCACCATCCATGTATCCAGAACTTCCTTTGTGTGCCCGGTTCTATGCAAAGTGCAGTAGGTCATTCAACACAGGAGGCAACGCGGTGAGACTGTGCTTACTGTCAAGGTGAGGGGATGCACTCAGAGAGGTTAAGGAACATGCTCCAGGTCACACAGCTTAGTATTAAGCAGTGAAATTAAGGTTCCAACCTGTCTTGGAAGTCCCTGTGGCTCCACTATCCTACACTAGAACTTGAATGCGGTACCTACATTCCTTCGCAATATTTTAGAATGTAGACCTTTTAAGTTAGATTGGTTCTTTTTTTTCCTCACTGAAGCAATTTGAGACACATCCACAGAGAGCCATACATTGAGGAGAAACATTCCTAACTGCCAATTGTGTTTCAGAATCTGTCAAATCATGTCTCCAGTCCCTGCACCCAAAACTGTAACTCTGCAGCCTCCCTGCCGCTCTCCCAAGTCCTCTGGCATCACAGTTCTGGACAAAGAGAACGTACCTGCAGGTCTGGTTCCTTGAAGGATTGTGTGAACCATGTATTAACAATACTCCCCCTTCTTAAAGTCATCTTGCTGCCCATAATTCCTGAGGCTCCCAGAGTTAGGTGAAGGTTTGGGAATGCTTATTTTAGAACTTTTTCAGTTTTCTCTGGATTAGTTAAGGGCTTATGACTTTGTCACTGACTTTCAGACACAAGGAAGAGAAAGAGGGATGGTCTCCTCTGAAGGATCACTGCAAGTCTTTGAGAATAATCAGCTTTCTTTTTGAGACGGAGTTTTACTCATTGCCCAGGCTGGAGTATAATGGCGCCATCTTGGCTCACTGCAACCTCTGCCTCTGGGATTCAAGCAATTCTCCTGCCTCAGCCTCCCCCGAGTAGCTGGGATTACGAGCATGAGGCACCACACCCGGGTAATTTTGTATTTTTTTTTAGTAGACGGGGTTTCTCCATGTTGGTCAGGCTGGTCTTGAAATCCCTACCTCAGGTGATCCATCTACCTCGGCCTCCCAAAGTGCTGGGATTATAGGCGTAAGCCACCGCACCTGGCCTCAATCTACTTACTCTAAAGGGTTTCCCAGTCAGTGTCCTGTAAATGGAGTGAAGTCTTCCTCCCCACAGCCTGCAGAGCAGCTGAGTAGAGCCTGGCGGAGTGGCATCCCTGGCGAGGCGGCTGGGGCCATTCACCTAGTATGCTGTACAGTCATTTCCTGTATGTACCTGGATGGGAAAGTTCTGGAGGCTCTGCTCTGGAGAATGAAAAATACTGATGGCTAACTAGCCAGCATAGAAGAGGTAAGAGAAAGGCTAAAAATGGAGGTCTGGGGACAGACTGCCATTTGTTAGCCATATGACCCTGGGCGAGTGACGTCTCTGTGCCTCAATTTCCTCCTCTAACTTTAACAACAATATTTAAAGCTTCTCTTCCAAATTCCTCACTGTACAAATGAGGAAACTGGCCCAGAGAGATCAGATGACTTGCCCAAGGTGAAACGGCTATCAGCCTCCAGGACAAATAGCTTTTGCTTCTCCGCTGCTAACCTCAATGTCCCCCAGGGTGCTTAGTCTGGGCTGCTGTTCTCAGGATTGTTAGGTCTTTGAGCTGATAAAGTCCTTTTGGGGGCTCCCCTGGCATGTCCACAATGGCTCTTCATGGCTCACTTCCTGGGAGCTCACACCCTCCTTCCAGACTCAGAGAATGCAACTCAACATGCTCTGGGAGCCTTTGAGTCATCTCCGTCTATCAGTCAACCTCCATCCATCTGAACAGACAGAGTTCATCCTCCTCCAGTTTCTGGAACTGGAACCTGGTGTTTTTCCTTTGGATTTTGCTTAATGAGTATCTGATACCTCTAAGTATGTCAGGTTCCCCTGCCAGTTGCAGAAAGGGGGCTAAAAGCCACAGGTGGCCAGCATCTGATCCAAGACCCTGGAGGAAACAATGAAGATGGCCTCAGAGTTTAACAGGTTTCCCAGCCCATGCCCCTCAACAGGAACTTTTCCCCTATCTCCCCACAGCTGATCAATGGAGGGAACAGATTCGCAGACAGCCTGATGGACACATGCCCTTGGCAGCTGGGAGGATGCTGCTGACCATCTGAATCCCAGAAGCAGAGAACAGTTACCATGGCTACCAAAAGTTGTAGCCATTGGCTGTTTTGGCTACGAGGACTCAGCTGACCTCTCAAGGTCCCTTCCAGCCCTGGGATTCTACAATTACCTCGAGCCAGCTGACACCACGTCTGCTGCAAGAAAACAGGACTCATCAGAAGTGCCTTAGAGGTCACCTTGTCTTACTCATCAAAAGTGTTGAGTCACAAGCCTACTTTCTACCATGGCTGCATTATTAACCAAAGTCTTGCTTTTTTTGGCATAGCATTTTTATACCTTTCATAAAGTGAGTTTGCTACCATCACTTTTTATTTCCTTTTACAGCTCAGGCCAGAAATTGTGACAGAGGTTTGTCCTGTATTGTGGCCAGGGAACAGACCAGAAAAACTTGCGTCACTAGCCCCAGTAGGGTGTGCGCCATCAGACAGAATGTGTGTGTCACAAGCCTTCTAAGAATCAGGAGGAAGGAAGTCATTCATAAAGGAGGCAGATGCTGAAATGCAACTTTGGTTTCCAACTGCAAGTCCTTCCAACTACAGGAATGTGGCTCTTTCTTATTCACAGAGGGCTGGATTTCTCTTTACAACCTGAGTACCAGAAGCTCCCTACCTTTCCAAATCAGAACAGAACAGGAAAGTGGCTAATTCAGCCTTTTCATTCTTCACACCGAGGGAGATCACAGGCCTGGCTGCATGCCTCTCAAAAGTCCACCTCAGGACAGAGAAGTCTGGAGAGATTGCTAAGACTTCTGAAAGCAGGGGAGAGGGATGCCCAGAAATCAGAGAACTGTGAATACTTACAAAAACAGCTGCAAACCTTCCCTTATTCCTGATGCAGGAAGCTTCATGTTTAATGGCTGTTTGGAGATTTTAAAAAATCTGCTTCTATCAAGATTAAATCAAAGCCTTTATTCAACATTCCTCTTTCAAACAGCCTGCACGTAAACCTATACCCCTCCCTGGACTTGGAAGCTGCCAGAGCTGTGGATCATTTTCATCTGACAGGGGTCAGATCCAACCAGGCCTCACAATATTGAAAAGCCAAGCCAAGACACACCACACTGGGCAGACGTCCACTGTCTGTGCCCCACTCAGGACCTGGGCAAAAGGTTGGTAGCGCCAGCTCTCAAACCAGAGCTCAAGCACAGGAGAAGAGGAACCCACAGTCTGACCCTGCTATTATAGCTCCAGACCTAGCCATGCTAAACTGGACAGACAGTTCCTGGGCTGCCATTCACTGAGGCGCATGCGTGTGCTTTTCCTTCTCTTCTCCACAGGAAAAGGTAAGAGATGGAGGAGGCAATTTTCAGTTGTGTGTGGGTTTGATTTAAGGCTTTGGCTGTGGTCTGCTGATATATTAAAATACTTTCTGGGAACGCCATCTTCCAAGCTCCCCATCGGAACAAATGTATTTTCAAAAATGAAAACATTGAGCAAAGATGTGGAGCGGCAATGCTGCAGGCCCAGGCCCCTCATGTCAGGATGCTGTCGTCCACCTGCTCCGTGGAGTCGGCCTGGCTGGCCAGCTTCTTCAGGGACCTTCGGTTAACCTCGTTCAGCACCTCCAAACTGGCCACATCCAGGATCTTGGAGAGGGACTATGGGGAAGGATGAGCAGGAGGAAACATGGTCAGAAAATACAGCTGCCACATTCTACAATCAGAGAAAGACAAAAATGAATGTTAACCCCAGAACTAAAGACACTGAGGTGGAATTTGGCAAAATGAGGGAATCAGATGGATCCAGGGAAAGCCTGTGAAAACACTCATCATGCTTTTGTTTTTCCCTTTTTCGTAGAGACAAGGTCTCACTATGTTGCCCAGGCTAGTCCTGAACTCCTGGGCTCCAGTAATCCTCCCACCTCGGCTTCCCAAAGTATTGGGATTACAGGTTCGAGTCACTGTACCCGGCCCCATCCTGCTTGTCATGAGACGTGGCAGTGCAAGTTGCAGCTTTTGGGCTTTCAAGGCTGCTGGGGGCTGGGGACTTAGTGAAAAGGACTCTGGGTTTCCACTGGGCAGCTCTCCTTGGAAATGCTCCGTCTGTTTGGGTGTTACGTGAGATTTTATTTGAAGAAAGGGCCCTGCTCTGGAAAGACGTCTGAAAACCATAAGAATGTGTGTTTTTGGGTAGTAGGCCAGTCACCCAAATCTTAATCTGCTCCTGAAAGCTAGCACATTCGCAGTAGCAGAGAAGAGCCTGCAGTTTAAATATTTCCGTGCTGAAGAAGAGCTGAAAGGCGAATGCTCACAGCACGCCCCGGCTCCCACCTGAAACACCTCTTCACCCTGCCGCATCTTGAGGAGGTTGACAATCGCCTGGTCGCTGTAGGCCCTGACCATGGTGTTCTTATCCTTGGTGTTGTCAAGAAGAGCCTTCAGGATGGGCTTGATGGCCTGGGGGTCCAGGGGAGGCAGCGGGTCCTTATTTGCCCACCAGATCATCTTCTCAGCCACCAGCCTGATGTCACTGGATGGGTTCTGCAGACACTGTGAAAAGAACCACAGACAGGCTTTTGGATAGGCACATCCAGTCTGTTCCTCAAGGCAGCCCAAATGCCCAGCCTCAACACTCTCCCTGTGGCGTGGACACTGACCCCACTGCTCCCGTGGGAGGGTGGCAGCGTGACTCAGCCCTGGCTCCCTGAACCCTCATCTCGTACCACTCTCCCCTTGCTCGCTACTCTCAGCCTGCACGCATTTTTACTTCCTTGAACTGCCAGGCCTCGGGCCTGTGCCCTGGCTACTCCCACGGCCTAGGCCGTGCTTGCCCTGGATCCTCCCTAGGTTAGCTCCTTCCCATCCTGCAGTCTCAGCTCCCATGTTATCCTTCAGAGATGCCCCCTGCCAACCTTATCGATATCAGGGTCCTCCCCATGGGCTCCAGGGGTCTTGTATGGCTTGTTCATCTCTGCACCTTCAGGGTAGTGCCAAGTGAACAGGCAGGTGCAGACACGGAGAGAACAGTGGGATGCCATCACAGAGCAGGCTCAATTGAATCAGGCCCCTCAGAAACTCCATGGGCTCCCAGTGCTGCAGGGGGAGGCAGTCATCCCTGGGAACCTCATTACTCAGGGCAAGGTCCATGCACAGCAGCACTGGCACTGCATGAGACCTGGTTAGTCTCAGGCATGGCCACAGCTCATTAAAATGCACTCTGGCTCTGATTTCTGTGCACGGTAATGCTTCAGAAGCATGCCATGTCACACGTGCCACAGGAGCCCTGCTGGCAGATTCCTTGGCTTTCCTAACTAGGGCCTGGCACACAGCACAATAACCACACCAAGAAGTGCTGGGCCAGGTGAAAGAGGGAGGCAGGAAGAGAGAGGTATTAAGATGGGAACCCAGGTCTATACCTAATTTTACAAAACCAGGGTGCCTAGAAAGAATGTCTAAAATAGCGATTCTTAACAGGATTCAGAGTCACAGGTCAGTTTGAGAATCTGACAACAAGTTGGGCTCTATTGCAGCGTAAAGCACACATAGAAACCCCCCGCCCCACCGTTCCATCCCTAAGGGTTCAGCCATCTCCTGGAGGCTGTCCACAGAGAAACAGCACACTAGTTGAGGGTGCATTGCTGGTGTTCTCCTCAGAAGTCAAGTGTTAGGGGTCAGACACATTTTTGGCCCCCACTCACCTTAACGAACAGGCTGGAGAGTTTGGCCGGCAACTGCCCTCCGCCTGTCTTGATGTGGTATCTCATGAGAAAACCCATGCCCCGGACCCCGCTCACTGCAATGGGGATCTGTGGAGAACAGACAGCGCTAGACGGAAGCACCCCGCCCCTTCCCCAGAGCCAGGAGAAGCCCAGTCCCTAGTAATATCTGGGACCCTCCACCACATCACCCCTTACCAGGGACACCATGACAGCTCTCACTCAGACAGGTGGCCCTGGCTGAGGCAGATGAGCAGTCACTGTTTCCCAGAACAGGGATCAAAGCCCTAACCCAGAAGGGGCATCTAGATTCCTCAACCCAAATTCCTTGGTTAGATGATGAAACTGGCGCCCAAAGGGATCAAGTGCTGGTCCAAGGGGACAGTGAGTTACCGAGAGGGGTAAAATTAGATCCAAGCCTCTTAACCCCCAGTCTGGGGTCCGCCCATGCTGTGTCCACAAGGCACTGGCTATGGGATATGGCCTAGGGGAGGGAAAGGACTGGTCTGGGTGCCCAAATGCCTTACCCTGTCCGCTGTGGCACTGCTCAGGATCATTTCCTGAACATCACTGCTGTATTTGCCGGCACAGAGTCTGCCAGGAGCCACATTCACAGCCACGGAGAGCGCCAGGCTCCGACCGTGCCGAACCATCCAGTCAATGCCAGACACGTCCGCTGGGTGGAAGGACACAACTGGGGTCAACCGGCATTTTACAGCATGGAGACCAGTGTGCTGATTCAGAGCACGGGGAAAGCCCAGGCCATACTCACAGGGACTTCCCTACTATCTTAAGAGAAGCTCCCCAAAGCAGCACATTAAGCAAAGTAAGGAAAGCCTGCTCACGAACCACTCCAGGCTTACAGCTGTGTTCTTTGAGCAGAGATACTCAGGGCTATGGAACCACTGCAAACTCAGTATTGTTTGTCTGTTTGTTTTAGAGACAGGGTCTTCCTCTGTTACCCAGGCTGGAGTACAGGGGCGTGATCAACACTCACTGCAACCTTGAACTCCTGGGGTCAAGTAATCCTCCTGCCTCAGCCTCCTGAGTAGCTGGGACTATAGGTGAGTGTCACACCTGGCCTGAATTTTGCTTTAACTGCTGGATTCCCAAGGACAGGACAGTCCAGTTGCTAAAAGATCCTCTGAGGGAGGGAGAGAGATCTCTTCGCTAGGGCTGAGAGGCCCAGGTCCCTGAAGGGGAATTCTCCAGTGTACCTACCCAGCAAGCACTGCTGAAGAACAGCGCTAAGCTCCTCTTCAGTCAGAAAGGCACACAGTTCCCCCAGGCACCCGGCTGAGGAGATGCGAGTGTTGTCCTGACAGGCAAGAGAAGGGAGTGAGGAGTGCAGGCAACAGCACCAGCTCTGTGGGACCCAGGGCAGGCAGCTCTGGAGCCCAGACGGATGGCAATAAAGAAGGTGGAACAAACCAACTCAGGGACCCGAGGTCCAGTCCCTTCCTCTAGGTACTTGTGCTCCCTTGCCAGACTTGGACTGCCATTCACTGAAACTGCCACTGGTACAGAGTTAAACATTATACACTCAGCACTTCACTTAATTATAGAAAACTCCAGTGTGTATGCATATGGTAATCATCCTCGTAATATCAGTAATAACTGTATTTACATAGCACCTTTCTTCTTAGGAAGGCTGAATGTTTCACATTTATTATCTCAATTACTATCCACAGCCCTGTGAGGCAGGGAGGGGCAGGAGGGGAGGCACCTGCCCACAGCCACCAAGGAAGCCAGCTAAAGACAGCCACTCTGGGCTCCTTTCTCCCACAGAGCTTGAGTCACCATGTGCCCAGAATGACCCCTGCTATCTCCCAACTGCACGAGTGCCCCACTGCCACCGAAATTACTTGGGTTCATCCGAGGAAGTCAAACTGAAGCGACTAATCAAGCCAAGGCAGATAAGGAAAGGCCAGCACTTCCTGTTCAGTTCAGAGCCAGGTACACAAGCGGCCCCGTGCTCCTCCCTGGCCTGCTAACTATGGAATATCAAGAGGGGATTTTAAGTTATGTGCCTTATTAGAGGTGCCAAGTCAACATGTCCCCAAAGCAAACCACCAACCAGAGACTCAATAACCAAAAAAGCTAATGCCAAGCTGGCACCCTGAACACCACCTTCAATTTGAGTGGAGGTTCAGAGGGTAAGAGGATGGGCTGCCAGCAGTCTGGGCCTCTGAGCTCGAAGCGGAAGTCCAAGTGCCAAGCTAAAGCTGGCTCTGACACCCACTCTCTCCAACTTCATCTATTTTAAGCTGCACTGTGGTGAAATGCAAATATGTTTCAATACTAACTTTTGCTTGTGCTGTCCATGATTCTGTAAAAGCCCTGACAGACTGTGATCAAGACGGTACACTTTCCCATCTGTTCCCACAGAGAACGCTGGGGCTGGGCCGGGCACGGGACAGTGGCTCACATCTATAATCCCAGCACTTTGGGAGGCCAAGTTGGGTGGGTCAGGAGTTCAAGACCAGCCTGGCCAATATAGTGACACCCCGTACCTACTAAAAATACAAAAATTAGCCGGGCATGGTGGCGCATGCCTGTAGTCCCAGCTGCTCAGAAGGCTGAGGCAGAAGAATCACTTGAACCTAGGAGGCAGAGGTTGTTGCAGTGAGCCGAGATGGCACCACTGCACTCAAGCCTGGGCGACAGAGTGAGACTGTGTCACGGGGGCGGGGGGGGAAAGGCGGCTGGGGCTGTAGTCACACAGTCGGCACCTGGAGACCAGAACTAGGCCCTTAGAGCCGTGGGGAAGTGCAGCAGCAAGTGTGTGTGTGGGGGGGTGCGGGGGAGGAGTGGGTGTGGGTGTGTGTGCATGTGTATGTCAACAAAGTGTAAAACCATGTGAGCCCAAAGGCCCTCTCCTCCTAGATTAGCTCTACAAATGTAAATTAGGCCACAACAGAGGGCTGTCTGAAAAGGGAAACAGAAAATTCTTTTCCAAAGACTCAACTTCCTACTGGCCCCACAGTGCTGGCAGCCAAAGGGTACTTGACACATGCTTCCAGACTAGGCAAGGCTGATGGAACTGGGACAGAAGCAGGAGTCCAGAGCTCCTGGTTTGGACTCTACTACGTTCTGGGTATAGCCCTGACAAGCCTCTCCCTCTAAAACAGACCTCTAAGACCTCTCACTGGGAGGCACCCTGGAAACCGCTGATCCCACTACACACTAAGTTTCTTGGAAGTCTGTGACCGCGAGGCCTATGCACCTATGGGACAGGCCTTTTAGCTCGGTAAATGTTTCATGAACCTCTTCATTTTACAAAAGTGGAAACGAGAGAGAGGCAGACAGAGAAAGTGATTTTTTTTTTTTTTTTGAGATGGAGTTTTGCTCTTGTTGCCCAGGCTGGAGTGCAGTGGCGCGATCTCAACTCACTGTAACCTCCGCCTCCCAGGTTCAAGCAATACTCCTACCTCAGCCTCCCAAGTAGCTGGGATTAAAGGCATCCACCACCACACCCAGCTAATTTTTGGTATTTTTAGTAGAGATGGGGTTTTACCATGTTGGGCAGGCTGTTCTCAAACTGCAGACCTCAGGTGATCCGCCTGCCTGGGCCTCCCAAAGTGCTGGGATTACAGGTAAGCCACAGCACCCAGCCAAGAAAGTGACTTAAGATCAGAGAGCAAATTGGTGAGAGGTCTGGGTCTCCACAAAGCTTACTTGCCTCATCTATAAAACAGAAATAACTAGCTGGGTACAGTGGCTCATGCCTGTAATCCCAGCACTTTGGGAGGCCAAGGCAGGTGGATCAGCTGAGGTCAGGAGTTCGGGAACAGCCTGACCAACATGGTGAAACCACGTCTCTACTAAAAACACAAAACTTAGCTGGGCATGGTGGCAGGCACCTGTAATCCCAGCTACTCAGAAGGCTTAGGCAGGAGAATCGCTTAAACCCAGGAAGTGGAGGTTGCAGTGAGCTGAGATCATGCCACTGCACTCCAGCCTGGGTGACAGAGCGAGACTCAGCCTCCAAAAAAAAAAAAAAAAAAAAAAAAAAAAAAAAAAAAAAAAAAAAAAAAAAAAAAAAAAAAAAAAAAAAAAAAAAAAAAAAAAAAAAAAAAAAAAAAAAAAAAAAAAGAAATAACCAGTATCAACAATACCTGCCCCATTTCCCTCGAAACCTGAGGAAATGTTTGGTGAATCATACAGGGTGACAGAAATGTCAGGAATGCTTATTTGCTTATTACTACTGAGCTGTACTGAGTTCTAACACAAAGTGAAGAACTCAGCCTAAGAAGGAGGAGAGAAACCAGTGGTGCTGCTAACCCCGCCTGCAGCCATACCTCATCGTGTCCCAGCATGCTCAGCAGGAGTGAGACGATGTTTTTCCGGATGACAGCATCCACTTTGGCCCCTGCTCCCTGAATCACAAATCTCAGGGCCTGCAGCATGGTGTCCCTGCAGAACCAATGAACTGACTTAGGCCCTGGGCACCTCCACCGCCACCCCTCCTGCCAGCACAGGCTCAGCTCAGAGGAACCCCTGGCCTCCTGGAGGCTACAGTGCTCCCTCACCAGCGCCATACCTGACGCCTGGGTCCTCCATGGCGCGGATGCCATTGAGCAGCTCTGTGAAGAGGGGATCCACCTTGATGTGGATGGAAATGAGTTTCCCCAGAGCATCTGCGGCCTTCAGGCGCACTCCCCGGTTGGAGTCCTGCAGGGCTTTGGTGAAAGTGGTCTGCAGCTGGGGCAGGAAGGGCTTCAGGGCAATCCCAACCTGTGGGAGGAACCCACATCCATGACAGGCAGTTGTGGTGGACCCAAAGCCACAGTGTACCAGAGGCATGAGAACAAACGACAATTCCAAACCAGCACAGCGAGCTCAGCTCTCACACAGGGCTGGGGACAGACAGCCCATCAGAGAGGCCAAGCACACATCGGTTTCGCTTGGCAGCCGTTGTCTGAGGGAGCTGTCTCGCAGCCTTGGCTGTGTTGGGTTTGGCTTAGTGGAGCCTGTCCATATCAATAAGTGACTCAAAACCTCCTCTGAATACATTGAAGAGCAGGGCAGGCTGTCAGCAGTGTTGAAGCACAGTTCTAATGCCAAGACAGGGAAAGGGACTCGATGTGTACAGCAGACCCCATCTACTGAGCAATTGATAGTGGGATACGTACTCCACATTCAGCCCTCAGAACAAACCTGTGAAACAAATGACCCTGCAGAGTCCTCCCTGCACAAATGTGCACCCACCTAACTAAAAATCCAGTCTGACTATACAGAAAAACAGGCACACTTTTGACAAAATACAGATGGATGCAAGAGTAAAGATTTACTTATTGTTAAATAGGAAAACCAGAGTGGCTGTTTGGAGGTTCAGTGCCAATGAAGTTCTGGAAATACTGGAGCTGGGTGGGTGTGCAGGCTGTGGCAGGCACCCCAAGAGGGTAAATCTGAATTATGTGAGATCAGGAGTTCAAGACCAGACTGGCCTGGTGAAACCCTGTCTCTACCAAAAATACAAAAAAAATTAGCCAGGTATGGTGGCAGATGCCTGTAATCCCAGGTACTTGGGAGGCTGAGGAAGGAAAATCACTTGAACGCAGAGGCAGAGGTTTCCGTGAGCTGAGATTGCCCAACTGCACTCCAGCCTGGGCAACAGAGTAAGACTCCATCTCCGAAAAAAACAAAAAAACCATCTGCCCACAGAAGACATCTGACTCACAGCCGCGGACCAACTGCTGTGAGGTATAAGGGCTCCGTTTATTGTGTTACAAAAACATCACAGCAAAGAACAGCATAGGATGTCAGGTGAAGATGATACTAAAACATAAAACAAAAAAAATTTAAAACCTCAATTTTCACAAAATTAGGCTGATAGAATCTCATTTTCTGGCTGGAAAGTTGCTCACACAGCCACTTCCAAAAGAAAAAAGCTACAAAGTTTAAGCTTCCTTTTGCTTCCAGTAAACTCTATTTGAGAATTCTGAGAATTCATGTTCGTTCGTCTGTTTTACAAGTCTTGGCTCTGTTTATACTTTTTAAAACCTAAGCTGGGTGGGTGGCTCACTCCTGTAATTCCAATACTTTGGGAGGCTGAGGCGGAAGGATTGCTTGAGTACAGGAGTTTGAAATCAGCCTGGCAACACAGGGAGACCCTGTGTCTACAAAAAATGTAAAAATAAGCTGAGTAGTCCCAGCCAATCTGAAGGGTGAGATGGGAGGACTGTTTGAGCCTAGGAAGGCACGGTTGCAGTGAGCTGTGATCACGCCACTGTGCTCCAGCCTAGGCAACAGAGTGAGACCCTGTCTCAAAAATAAAATTTAACGGGCTTAATTATTGCCATAAAACATCAGAAATGGTTACTATAGCAGAGCTTTTCTTCCTATACTTTTGGCAAAAACTGAAGTGGTAGGCCGGGCGCGGTGGCTCAAGCCTGTAATCCCAGCACTTTGGGAGGCTGAGGCGGGTGGATCACGAGGTCAAGAGATCGAGACCATCCTGGTCAACATGGTGAAACCCCGTCTCTACTAA